GAGAATCAGTAGGCTTATAATGCACAGTAGTGACTTGAATGTCAAGAAAAGTGACTGACTTGTCACTGACTTCAGAAGTGAATTCTAAGGCAGTATCTATAGTCGTATTTCATAGACTATAAATTCAAAAAAATAAAAGGAAAACAAAATACATGAAACAACAAAAGAAACAAAAAAACCTTAGTGAAACAATCCAACAAAGATATTCCATTCAATTGGAAATCTCAGAACTTGAAAATATTCAAGATAAACAATGCCTCCGATGACGGATATCACAACCATCATGCTTTGTTGCACAAAATGACGTCGCCTTAGTTATAGTACATTGATTTCAACAAAATACATAATACTTTTTCATTGGTCGAGAGGATTACAATGCAGCGGTAATTGTACTTAGGAGTACTAATTAAGACTTCATGAAAACAAAATTTATAGAATGAAAACCAACATCAAAGAAAAAAGCAAGAATGAATGCGCACTATGTTCGTTAAGTGTCTTTAATATTAATCATATTGTAAAATTTTGTTTCATTAAATGTACTATAAACAGAAAATCGTACAAACTCTCGTGCAATTTGGAATTTTAATTCCAAAAAAAAAAGAAAAAAAAGAAAAAACTTTCAAAAAATTATTTGTGACACTGTTGATTAATTATGAATTAATTCCAAATTGTACTCTCAAGGTCGTGCGATTTTCTCTACAAATCGAAGAGAAATACCGAAGTATGAAGAAGCAAGTGGAAAAAATCGCAGAAAAAACTATCCGCAACGCGCTTATTAAGTGATTAGTATTACCATACTAGTGGACTACTGTATTGCAAATTCCTACTTTCTGATTGGCCACGCTACTCGGTGTATATTTTCAATAGTCCTCGACTAGTGAAAAGCGCCAATTTTAATTTTCTTTTAGAAATATTTTGGGTCAACTAAACAATCTGTTAAAGACCATTTTAAGTTGTTTACTCAAACCAGCTTTCACCAGCGTGTAGTAAATTAATTTATTTTCACATACTTCTACACTGGCTCCCTGTTCGTCAACGTATTAATTACAAGATTCTTCTACTTACCTTCAAAGCACTACATGGTCTTACTCCGTCTTACATTTCTGAACTGATCTCTGTATACAAACCTAAAAGAACGCTTCGGTCCTCTAAATAACTACTCCTATCTGTTAAACCTT